GGGAGAAAAAAAATATGTACATAGTAGTAGATTTACCTATCTATAATAATATTGAATAAGCCTCTGAAACCCCTAAATTGTCATATCTTTTGGGGGCTTCGCCACCTGGACCACTTTAAAGACATTTTTGAGGGACGCCCGACCACGCCCACCCCATCATATTGTCCCCTCCCCACTAAAATTTTACCTTGTCCTCTCACTTTCCCCCACCCAGATTTCAGACGCTGGCGCCGCCACTGATTTTAATTGAACAACTATTAAATAGTAGGCCTAGTTTGTATTTTCAGACTGACAGTAAAATTTAAAAATACAAGGACCATAGAAAGACTAAATCCCAGGGCCGTAAAGTGAATGGTGCGTTGTGACGTGTTGTTCTACCAAAATCGAACACAGGTCCATCGCGACAAATGAGGCTGACACAGACTTGCAAATAACGCATGCCCAAAATAATATGTTTTATTCATGAGATTTTAACAAACTATCCTACGTCAAAGAAATTCGCGTACTCTATAAGCTTATTTCTTTTACTCGCAAAAAGACCGCATTCGGCAGCCTTTTGTGAGGCTGTGTGTATACTGGTTATTAATCATGTATGTGAAGGGCATTAAGCCAAATAAGTAATGTCATAATAAAAGAATTCAAAAGCACAACACTGAATATTGCTACGATAAACGACCTTTGCAAATACAGGACAACCTTTTAAGGACAATATTCTGAGTCAGTAATTTTTGTCTATAATGTTGACACAAGCAGTTATAAAAAAGAATACTGTAGGCTTTTAACTGGATTATACAGTAGACCTACATGCAAATGTTGTGATAGATGGAGACATTCCTTATTCGTCACGTTCTTTTAAACTTGTTTTTTAAATTATTATTATTTGGGGCTGTAACTTTTTGGGGTATAGCATGGACCTGTCACTTTATATTATATATTCTGTTAGGCCTATTTAATGAAACTCCTTTGTATCTATTGCATTCACTAAAGTTACGCGTTCCACTTACCTACACCTAATAATTATTAGGCCTACTCTTCTACTAATCTGAATAATGAATTCTCGAAGTGACAACTCCTCGTTCAACATTTTGTCGATTTGTGTTAGTATAGCGTAATGTTGTTATTTTACGATATTTTAATTAACATAAATATGAACTCAAAATGCCTAAAATGATAAGGCGCTTAAAATGATCGTGCTACGATATATTTTACAGATTTGTGCCCTATGTAAAAAAAAAATGGCGACACCACGGGACATGAGGGAGATTTTCCCCAGTTTAATATCTTTTCCTTCTCTCCAGTTGTCGCCTCAGACTACAGCATCAATCAATATTCTGTTCAGGATAATACCGTAAAACCTCGATTTGAAGCCCCCGGGGATTTTTTTTATGAACTTTGGGTGGCTTCCTTTTGGGAAGGGCTCCTTTTTGAGGTGGGTTTCTATTCGAGGCTACTTTTGCAACGTTAAAAGGTGTGGGGGGGGGGGGTGGTTTCCTTTTCAAAACGAATGCTGTAAATTTTAGGAATTACTACGATATAACAATAAATAGGGCCACTGTAACATCAATCTGTATCATGAAGTGTATCAACCGGTATTAAATATCCTAACCTATGTATAAAACCAACTGTGTTTTATTTATTTTGTTTCTTTAAAGTTCATGTACAATGTATGTACTGTACTATCTCGAAAAATAGCCCACTATCTTGAAAAGAAGCATAATACATCAGGCCACGTAAATTTGCCAAACCAACTACTTGAATTGGCAATACATATTCTACTATTTTGTCGATAAACATTAACCCACAAGAACAGGCACATTTTAGTTTTTTTCTGCGTTTTTAATGACACATACCGTAATAAACACAATCTCGATTTGTTATAAAGTATTGCGACCAGACACTAAGTAAAACAAATTTGTAGGTGAACTACAAGAGTGTATCCAGGATTTTTTTTTCTGGGTGGGTCGTGATCTTAATTTTTTTAACCTTTTCACAATGAAATAACAGCAGTATGTGATTAAAATGTCAATATAATTTAAAAAAACAAAATAAAAATTGCTGCCGAATTGACAGGCTGAGGACGTTCATTCCTTGGTGAAAAACATTATAGGCACTGATACCTATGAGCAGTTTAAAGTTAAACCATTTAAACCATTAGAACTTTTTGTGACTCTAATAATATTTGCAAAGGCCTACTTAATCCCAGTCTTTATCTGAGACCTCAATGCCATTGAGGATATGCCACCTATACCTGCTCTGTCACTCAATCATTACAGTGTCTTTTTTCTAGTCAGATTCCATTAGGACATACCCGAAATATAATAATTATCGTACGTCGTGAAGGGAGTCAACTTTTCGGCCCAACCAGGGCCCTAGCGACAGGCCTAGCTTACTCAAAGTAGTTATGACGGTGGGAGACAATTATACCCCAAGTAATGTGCTCTTGCTTCCTTCCCCCTCCACCCCGCACCCCATCCTCAAATTAAGTATATTTTTTTTATTCATTTCTCAATTTAATTACAAAAGGATACTGTTGTGTGATTAATCCTGGTGCTTTCCAAGACGGGGTCGACGTTAAGGTAAATAGAACTCGAAAGAAAAAACTGTTCCAAAGGTATGTTTGCATACATTTTTAGTACAGATTAATAATAATTATTATATATCGGTATCTTTATTCAAAATTCATATTCATAATTATGTGGTAATTAAATTTATTCAGCACTACAGTATCACTTGTTAATTTTATTTTATTTACAGAAAAACAACGAAGGTTACTAAGTCGACTTGGTTTGAGCATGATGGTTTGAGACACGTTTCTATTATCGATATATATATTTTGATCATGTTTATTAATGCTTAAATAAAAGATTTATGAAATAAATGTAGTACTGTGAAAAGATTAGTTTGTCATACGTTTGTTTTCTGTTTCACCATAATGTTATGATACAATACAATAAAATGATACATAGGCCTATAAATTAAAATAGACTGAATGGTATAATGATAAATGAAAACAAGGGAAATATTCATATTTATTTTCCAAATCAAATTATGTTTATAATTATATACTGTTATAATAATATTAATAATAATATTATATATTATATTGTATATAATGGCCACTCGAGGCTTCTTTAATGGAATATACTTTCCCATGAATACAGATTCCTATGGTACTCTTTGAAGCAGACACAAAGTTTTGATACATATTCTGATGTTTATATAAAATACACAAATAAATGGAAATACAGTAAAATATGGTTTTATATGTAATTAATATAATGTATGTTAATGGCTTTTTCGGGCTTCTTTTTAACAATCATGAACAATTCAAGTAGTACTAGTTGCCTGAAAACTAACTACAGGTATAACAAAAATCGGAAAGGAACTTTTCTACAAACTGTTCCCCACGTATTCTTGTGGGGTAAGATTCTCTGTACGCCGCCTTCAGGAATGTGGGCGCGCATTACTTCAAAGACAGAATAGGTCAGATGATGCTAAAAATAGACTAGCTATTTTAGGTGCAAACACGTGCGATGGCAGCGAAGATGTCACGTGTATTTACCTAATGTATCTTCATACACATGCCACCATTAGCTACGTCTCTGCTACTGGTATCATATCAACATACACAAATTAGTGGAAATATAAATATAGTTTTGATAAAGATAAACGTAGGCCTATAAAAAGAAAAACTGAACGCATGCAATGCAGTGCAGGCGCACATGTGTGTAACAGTAACTTTATTTGTATAATTTTACAATTCAGATATAAAAGTATATTTAATTCAATAAATTACATCAATACTGTAACAAAACACAGAGGCCTTTATTATGAATAATTCAGAAATTGATAAATATAACTATGTATTGTACACTTGACGTTTCATTTCAGGGAACTGCAAAAAGAAAAAGAACATTGTTTTTCAATATTGAACACTAGATAACTACTAAATTTTAAAAACGCTAAAATTATATTCACGTTTATTGTAGTTAAAATTTCTCTGAAACAATAGCAATCGTTGAAAAAAAAATAATAAGCATGCTGAAAAAAATACAATAAAAAATATTTATAGTCAAGCATCGTTAAAAACCAAAATCAATTTAAAGTCTAAAACACGCACAAAAAAAAAAAAAAAAAAAAAAAAAACGGTACTGGCCTGTACGAATAACATCTTAATGTGTACTTCGGCGTTCCATACGCTGTTAATCGCGACCAACGCGTCTCTAGGCTTAGCCTAGGCGATCATGAATTTCTTGATTTTAATGCATGCTGGGTAAAGGTAATTATGTATTCTAACCCGTAAGCTTGGCGTTCATAATATAGTTTAATATGATTACTATCTAAATATACAATACAGTTTGCAAAATGTTTTATTATAGTAAAAATCATTCATCAAACTTGGGTACGGGTTAGTGTAGGCCTATGCTCTGCTGTGTACGGGTTGACCAAAGATGTGTACGGGTTCGCCAAAATTTGGGTACAGGTTGTGGGTACGGGTTGACCGGTATTCTCTGGCAGCAGTACGCGTAACGCTATTGGAACTGAGAAAGTAAGTACGAACGGTTTATTCACAGGCAATGCAATGTGATTATTGCGTTATTTCATCCGGAAATCGCTGTTTATTAAAACTGTTTGTTCGGTTTGTAGAAGTTCGTACAGTGTACACAAAAAAAGTATAATGACCCACGATATCGGTATAAAGACGTTTTTCAGCCTAGCCTAGGCCTAGCATCTTTTACGTTGGTAAATAATTGCTGTGGCCAGCATCATGGAGGCGAGTTATTTTTCACACCCCTCTCGATAGGAGTTTAGGAGCGCGATGGTGCGCGATCGCGCGCCTAAAGGTGGTTTTCCAATAGGCAATTTATTTTCCGCGAATCAAAGCGTAGGTTCGCTTCCTGAGCTCTGATTGGTTGCGCATTTTTTCGCTTCGCAAAAACTCCAATATTAATGTGAATGCGCATGCGCATGAAACGACGCTTTCGATTCGCACGAATAATTCATCTAGTAGAAAAGCGGCTTTAAATGACAAGGTCTGAAATTCTTATTTTATGTATTATGTAAAGCATGCATGGTCAATAAATACATTACAATAAATAATGACAGATAGAAAAGAAAGACAAGGTTGTAATAAGATTTATTTTATTAATGAAAAAAATACGAAATACGAATTAACTTTATAATCTTTCATTATAAAATAATAAATGCAGCCGTTATACATGCCTGTGGTTAACAATTCTAAATATAATGCATCGATGTATGGCATTGTACTTTAATATGACAATCACTTATTTGTCATTGTAAACCTTATCACTCTGACTACAGTCTCAGTCGAAAAAAACCCTTAAACAAAAATGCTCATGCATGATGTTTTGTTTTTACCTTAAGATGACAACGAGGACACGCTACCAACTCAGGCTACAGTTGCAGCCAGTTAATCAACATGAAAAGGATGATATCGCAACTGGTAGTAAAAAAAAAGAAACCTGGCGGCATAAACTTAAGAAAAACCCACAAAAATATGAGTTCCAGAAGCTGTCAGACAAACTGTACTCCATGAATTATCGAAAAAATATGAGCGAAGAGAAAAAAGCAGACTACAGAGAGAAAACCAGGCTTAGAATGCAAAAGTATCGAGAGCGAAAGAAAGCAAGCAAAGAAAATCAAGGAAAGACAGAAATAAAAAAAAAGAAAGGAAAACTACCAAAGACAGGGTCGACACAGAAAGCAACCGATGAAAGTAGGAGAGAAAAGGAAAGGTTAAAGAAGCGGGCATTAAGGGAACGTCCTGGGTACAAAGAGAGAGAAAATGAATTAAGAAGAGAAAAGAGAAGAAACGTGCGATTAGAGAAAAAGAGGAAAGAAAGAGAAGAGGAAGAAGGGAGAAGAGAAAAAGAACAAGAAAGGCTAAAGTCGACAGGGTCGACACAAAAAGCAACCGATGAAAGTAGGAGAGAAAAGGAAAGGTTAAAGAAGCGGGCATTAAGGGAACGTCCTGGGTACAAAGAGAGAGAAAATGAATTAAGAAGAGAAAAGAGAAGAAACGTGCGATTAGAGAAAAAGAGGAAAGAAAGAGAAGAGGAAGAAGGGAGAAGAGAAAAAGATGAACAAGAAAGGCTAAAGCAGTCCATCACGTATGTAAAACGCAGGAGAGCACTAAATTGCTCTCCTCGTGTTACGAAGGAGAGCAATTGCAATTGCTCTCCTTGAAAATTTTCACAGCTTTGAATAGATGCAGTCCATCACGTATGTAAAACGCAGGAGAGCACTAAATTGCTCTCCTCGGGTTACTAAGGAGAGCAATTGCTCTCCTTAAAAATGTCACAGCTTTGAATAGATGCCCCCGGGGGTGGATCCAGGTGTCCGAAGTAGGGGTGGGGGCGGCGATCGAGAAACAACACTACCCTAGAGTGATCCAGCATGCCCCCAGGGCATGCTGGTTTTTAGACGCCAGTTTTCTAGACGCCGGGAAATAACTTTGAAGCATTTTGGGCGATCAATAATCGAGGGGTGGGGGTCGGCCTGCTCCCCAAAATACTCTCCACCCCCCAAAAAAATCCACACCCCCAAATCTTCCCCACAAAAACTCCCACTTTAAAAGAGGGTGTCTATAAAACGAAGACCGAAGACCCAAAACGAAGACCCCTATTTTTTCTCTTTCATTTTGATGATAATACGCCAGGCTCTCACAAAATCCAAATTACGAATTTTTTTGGGCGTCTGTTTGTGGAATTTTCAATTGTCTTCGTTTTATAGACATCCTATATGGGTGTCTACAAAACGAAGACCGAAGACCCGAAAAACGAGACCTCCAGTTATTTCTCAATTATCTTTACTGAAAGAATTTCAAAATCATTGTAAAACAGGTGCCAAGTACCTATTTCATTATTTTATCGGAATAAAATGAGGAATATCAAGAAATACTTAAGGGTCTTCGTTTTATAGACACCCTATATGGGTGTCTACAAAACGAAGACCGAAGACGAGAAAAACGAAGACCCACATTTTTAATTCTTTCAATCGTGATGATGTTTTTAAATCACTTCATGCTATGTACGGCATATAGTATTCGTCTTCTTAGCACATTGTTGCCTGAATCTGAGTCAATTGAATGATTTACCCTTTATTCCAGTTCCAAAGCGGCAACCAATGTTGTACGTCCACTGCTGGTGGCGGAGCGCGTCTTGGCGCTGCTACCCTCTAAAGTAAGGCTTGGCATAGCGGTACGCGTATTTTGGGGGCCTATAAAAACCTTGAATATTTCATTCATAAACTTGTTCCATGTTAAAATAAACAGTAGGAATGTGGTATAGTGACGCATATGTCCAGCATCGGTCATTTGGTAGTGACACCAACATAGGATGGACGAGATAATTAAGGGTCGTTTTATAGACACCATATATCAAACGAAGACCGAAAAACGAAGGCCCACATTTTTTTTTCTCTCAATCGTGATAAAATAATGAAATATGTACTTGGCAACTGTTTTATGATGATTTTGAAATACTTTCAATAAGATAATTGAGATATAATTGGAGGTCTTCGTTTTCGGGTCTTCGGTCTTCGTTTTGTAGACACCCATATAGGGTGTCTATAAAACGAAAATTTTACAAACAGACGCCCAAAAAATTTCGTAATTTTGATTTTGTGACAGCCTGGCGTATTGTCATCAAAATTAAAGAGAAAAATAGGGGTCTTAGTTTTTGGGTCTTCGGTCTTCGTTTTGTAGACACCCCTTTGAAAGACTCATTTGGAATAAACGCCTCTCGAAGTAACGCCCGGAGGAAGTGGAATATCGCGTTTTTTTGGCGTCACCTGTGTATAACCACACCTATTTTTAAATTTATTGAAACCTCATACATTCTGCTATTCATTTATATGTTCAATTATATGTTAAATTTGGAAGGATGTACTGTTTTCTTGAATTCTGCTATTGAATATGTTGAAAATCAATAGTCCAGGCAATCTACGGTTTCAGACCACCACCGAAAGTGGACAAAATTGCAACAAAAAGTTTTTTAACTTGTATTTGAAGTTTATTTTGTGAAGGAAAACATACAAAAAATCGGACAAAATCTGAGACATAGAAAGTGGATAATTTAACGAAATTTTACAGGACTATTTCACACAATCGATGAGCAATGCGTCCTACGCCGGCGTTTACCTGTGTTATGATATTATTTCGAATCGGACTCTGTGATTGGCCATGTTTATTTATTTCTTCCATGATGATTGGACCAAAGATCCAGGGGCCAACTTTTCAGCACAAAATTCGATTCATCGCAGGAATATTTTGGGTGGCCTACTGCTTCGAGGAGGGGTTGGTCCTAATCTTATTTCTAGGTAAAGTACATTATCTGATTTGTAGTGAACAATAATCAACGTTCTATTAATGTATTGTTTTGTTGTAAAACTGTATTATGCAATGGCAAAATAATACGGAGTTCAAACTTCGTTTTATCGACCGGTCGGTCTCCAGGCATCTCTTTATAAGGCCTAGGGTAGGGGCCTAGGCCCTAGTAGAGGTGTAAGGCCTACTGACTGTTAGACTACCCTCTGGGCCCTAGGCCATTAGTTAGATTAAATGCAGGCCTAGCTTGGGCGGTCTACTAAATCATACCCTTGATACAGTGGAAGCACAGCTTCACTTTGAGTGTAATCTTAGGCTATAAAGAAAAATTATGCTCATCAGATTCATATTACTCAATCAATGACTTCAAATTTAATTTCACAAGCAGCTAGGCCTAGGTCTAGAAGGCCTACTTATTTATTATATTAATATTAATTCAATGCTGCAGTGCATTATTTTTGTGGTTAATGACCCACTGTATATTTGACAAATACAGTAATAATACTAAATAGTAATATTATTAATTTTTAAAAAAGTCTTTCAACTATCTGATATTTTGATTATAATTATGTTTTACAGATAAACTGCATTTTGAAGAAATGGTTTGGAAGATTTTGATGCTATGATATATTTTTGCATCGTGAGTGGATTTCCCGTACAATTAAAAATCGAAACGGCACTGGTTTGGTCTACAGGAGTTCATGCTTCGAACAGGTCATTCCATTCATAGAAGCAGCCTTTTGATGGAGAAAGTGTACCTTTTTAGGAAAGGTTTGCCTAGGTCAAAACTAACTCTGGCTATATAAACTTGATTATAAGATTGAAAAATATTAATCTTATTATTGTAGTAGTGATACTATGTACATGTTTAAATTATTGTTATTTATTTGTCATTATATTTACATTGAGTATGTAATTATACTATCTTACAGCAGTATACAGTATTGATTGAAACACGACATCTGAAAATGATATTAAAATAAAATATTTATATACAGGGCTGGAAATTGTTTTTTCCTTCCCCCAGGTTTTATGGTTGGAGGCAAATATTTTTTCCTGTGCCTGTTGATATATGTAAATAAATCTGGCAAAACCAGATGCTTGTCTTCAAAATGGAAATTTTCAAATCAACTAAAATCCCCATATACTGACCATCTTATGATTTGTTGTACTGAAAATATAAATTTTCATGTCTTCCCCATTCTTAACCAATTTTTACATTTAATTATTAGCTTTTGACCTTTAGATTACAATGAACTAATAATTCCATTTTTTGAGGCAAGAGCCTTTTTTGTTAGAGTGGATCACATTAAAGATTATAAATAGAAGAAGTTTGAGCAGTTTGTGATATAGTGAAACGTCCAAGCGGTGGTGCTATGTCTTAAAATCAAGGGCACTGCTCGTGTTCGTTTGTTTTCTGTGGTTTATCCACTCCGTCAAATGGTCAATTGTTCACTCAAATTTGTGGGAGGGTGGACGTTCCATTTAATGCAAATACATAAATAGCTCATTCTTCTGCTATTTCTCACCGTACACCACTCTAAATGAGTGGTGAAAGATCAGTCAGGATTTTAAATGTCTCCATCATGTCACCTCAGTGGCGCCTTTCTTCTAATGTAGTCAGCCTAAAAATACCTAACCTATCTTCATACGACATACCACGTAAACACGGAGGCTATCTCGTAGCCTGCCGCTGGACTTTCTCTAATAAAATTATGTCTTTTCTTAATTGAGGCGACCATGACTGAACAGAAAACTCAAGGTGTGTTCTGTGGTCTATTTAAGTTCTTTGGTCACATGTAAATACTACAGTGCATACTTGCATCTGTTTTAATGTATGACATTGATATTGAAGTTTTATATATTCAGTAGTGAGCCTTCAAGGACAACAATGAATGCCAAACAGGAGCATGGCGAAGAAAGCAGCAACAGTGTCAGTTATTTACAGGTGGATAACACTGTCAGTTTCAAAAAAAGGTAATTGAGAACAAAGCAAAAGATACATAAAATTGGCCTTTCTAGAGTATTGAAAAAACTTAACTGACTAATCAGTACACAGCCAGGAATATTGCATGTCCCATAAGCACACGTTGTCCCTCATGTTTACGTACGTTTCCAAGAGGCGGAGCTTACAAAACTTACATTGTTTGATATTGTATCTTGTGTTGGTCCGTTGCATTTTTTGTTATGTTACAGAATGTATTGATGTCAGCAATACTTACATTTCTGGATATATATAATGTATAATAAGCTTTTAGATTAAAACAAATTTGTAAATATAGTAAATAATATATAATGTTTTATTAATAACCATATTAACATATAAAGTATACACAAATTTGTAAATAAAAGAAAGTAGTGTATACATTAGCAGGATAAATAATTGGTTATAATATATTTTGTCTAAAATATTAATGTTAAGTTTTAAGTAATATATTAACAATAGAGAGCTTTATAACTCATTTTTAGAGATTTCTAGAGATAAGATTACATACACTGACATTTTATGTGCCAATTTATATTGTTCCATAAATAATTTAGATTAGTGTTCTATTTTGTTTTCCTGTACATAAATTGTGTATTACTTGTGAAAATTTTTAAAGGAACCATTGCTTTTTCTTTAGGCAAAGGAATCCTAGTGATAGTGGAGCAGACGACACAGACAACACATTGTGGCTCAACAGACAAACACATCTGTCACAGAGTGCTACGAAACACACCCGCATCACACCGTTGTCCAAGCCACCATTAATGAGTGCAAGCACTGTGGGTAAACGCAAAATGAGGTAGCGTAACCCGCATCAATCGCCCCTTTTTTCCATTTGTGAAATTCATTCTTAAAAATCCATTAATCATTCTATGGTGAAATTGAAAAGTGGAATGTATTTAGTGTCACACCTCATTTACTTCTCTCAAGTTACGTGGGCTTCAAATTAAAGGCGCTTTAACGAGCCAATTTGCCCTCACAACTCTTATCTTTAGGAAATAACCAATTGTTACCTAAATTATGCATAAATTACAAATTCCAAACCCACAAATCAGTAATAGGAATCTATTAATTTGGAACTAATGAGGATAATAAAGCTGATAATACAGCAAATTAGCAGAAAAACACGGTTCTAGGACAATTACTCCCTGGGTATTAACCCCCAGAAAATTAACCCCGGAAAACAACTCCCCAAGGACAATTACCCCCTGTAAAATTACTTTCCCCCTCCGGAAAAATAACCCCCCTTCCCCACGGACAATCACCCCAAGGACAATTACCCCAGGGAAAATCCCCCACAAGGACAATTACCACATGGAAAATTATCCCCCCGGAAAATAATCCCCCAGGGACAACTACACCCCCAGGACAATTACCCAAGGAAAATTACCCCTCAAGGACAATAACCCCTGGAAAATTCTCCCTGGAAAATAACCCCCCAAGGACAGTTATCCCCTGGAAAATTACCCCTCGGAAAAAAAAACTTCACATGGAAAACTACCTCCCAAGAAAAATTACCCCCAGGAAAATTACCCCCCTGAAAACTACCTCCCAAGGACAATTACCCCCTGAAAAACTACCCCGAAAAACTACCCCCCCCCACCGGCAAGTACCCCCAGAAAGAAAGTCACTAATATTTTTTACATGATATTTCTTCATAAAATTACATGCTCTAACCGTTTTTGATAATTGTTTTTCACAAAATCAACGCTAAACCCGGGGGATAATTGTCCTGGGGGAGTGGTTGTCCTTGGAGGTAATTTTCACTGGGGTAATATACCGGGGGTAATTGTCCTCTGGGGTGGTTGTATTTGGGGGTAATTATCCGTGGGTAATATACCGGGGGTAAACT